GTCACCAGCCTGTCCCCACACCCGTCCCTAGTGGATCTTCCTCACTCAGAATCTCCCTGCTCAGAACCCTTCCACCTACAACATCAAGTCCAGTCTCCAGGCACACGTCCTGTCCTGCCCTGTCCTTGTCTGAGCTTAAACTCTTCCACCTGCCCCGATTGTCCTCTGGCAGGAAAGATACTTCTACGTAGCTGGGCCTCATTCTCGACTCCTCCCCCTCCGCCACACCCCAAGTTCAGCCAGTCACCAAAGTTTGCTTTGTTGACTCCCAAAATTGCCTCCACGGGCACCTGCTTCTTTCCTCCCCCACTGCCACCATCACCTCTCATGCAGATGCCGTGTCAGCGTCCTCACGCTGGGCCTTCACTGCAACTTCCACGGCACATGTTCACAGAACCTGGCCGGGCGCGGTGGCTCACGCCTGTAATCCTAGCACTTTGGGAGGCCAAGGCGGGAGGATCGCTTGAGACCAGGAGTTCAAGACCAGCCTGGGCAAGAGTGAGACCCCATGTCTACAAGAAATTAGAGAAAACTTAGCCAGGCGTGGTGGCGCGCGCCTGTCGTTCCAGCTACTTGGAAGGGTCAGGCCGGAGCATCGCTTGAGGTTGCAGTGAGCTGTGATGACGCCACTGCACTCTAGGTCAGAGTGAGACCTGTCTCAAAAAAAAACAACAAATGTTCACAGAACCACGTCACTCCCCCCGTTGAAATCGTCCCAGTGGTGTCTCATTGTACTTGGAGTAAAGTCCAAAATTCTTACCTCGGCCCACAAGGCCCCGTTGGCCTGGCCCTGTCTGCGTTGCCACCTCGCTCTGTACTCTCCTCCCTGTTCACTCTGCTCCAGCTACACGGGCCTCCTTCCCAGGCCTGGAGTTGCCATGTGGCTTGCTGCTGCGGGGCCATCACGCCCTCTGTTCCCTGTGCCTGGAGGACGGTTTCCTGCAGCATGTCACCCTCCATTTTATGTCACACACCCTCCTCTACCTCGTCTTGAAAGCACTTTTCCTACCTTGGAAAACATATTTATTTGACGGCTTTTAAAAACTGTTTCTCCTCCAAAAGACTATAAGCTCTATGGGGGGAGCAAACCCATCCTTGTTTTGCTTTTAACTACTGTACTGTGTGAGCTTAGCAATGGCTTGACATGTCACAGCATGTATGTAATACTCACGGAGGGATGGATCATCAGGGTGTCTTTGTCTGGTCATCTCTGGGTCCTCGGCTCCCAGCACAGGGCTTGGCACTGAGGGACACGAGGAAATGTTTGAATTTAAGGAAGTGGGGAGGGTGTGGCCGACCTTCAGCCAGAGCTGATGGGAGGAGAAGGCGTCCAGTGCAGTGCCGAGTATCAAGGAACAGACCAAGGCTGTGGGAGTCAGGCTGTGGGCTGCGGGGGCTTCCCGTGTTCCTCCGTGGGCAAGGAGTGGTTATTCCTGCTGTCCGTGGACGAGGGGCATTTCAAAGCTCCAAGAAGGAGGCCTGGGGCTGAGTAGAGAGAATAGGCTGTGGGGAGGACAGACCTGGGTTTGAATCCTGCCTCCACCACTCGCCTGCTGTGCGACTTGGGGCAGGTGACTTCACCTTTTTGAGGCCCAATTCATCGTAAAATGGGCATGATAACAGACCTTACCTCCTCAGACTGTCATGGAGATTTAGAAATAGTGTATTGGTTCAAATAGCACAGAAGAGACAGCAATGCTGCTATTGCTGCTGCTGATAGGATACGATGAAGAAGAAAGACAAGAGATATTTTAAGTCCCTGGATGCTGGATGCTCCTAAGAAGAACTCAACTTTGACGTAGGGCTGCTGGAGAAGCAGTCCTGAGGGCACCTCAGGCCCAGGGGGTTGGGGGGGGAGGCAGGTGTGTCAGCAGGAAATAGGCTTGAACCCAGGAGCCAGGAAAGTGGGCCAGAGATGGGCAAGCAGTGCCTGGGGCGGCCCAGGGCTGAGGGTATCTGAGGGCCACTGGGGACTGCGTGGCCCTGCAGCAGGACCAGCCACACATCCCTTTGTGTGTTGGCCACCCCTGTCATCTTGTTCTCCTGCCTAAGCTAGCGTTCCGTACTCCTCCAGCGGCTGCCCTTGGCCTGGGCTCTGCTGAAGGCCCATGTGGTTAGATGCAGAGGGGAGGCTGATGTCAATGAATCTGGGGCCCAAGTTCATCTCCTGGCCCAGCCATTGACGCACAGCGTGGCCTGTGACTCGGTCTCCCTATCTCCTGCCAAGCTAAGGGTCTGAGGGGCCTCTCTGAGCTCCCACACGCTACACTCTACAGATGAGGGCAGCACCTATGGGGAAAGAGCCCTTGGGGTCCCTGGCAGAGCAGGGACGAGGCTGGTGGCTAAGTGGAGAGATTGCTAAAGACTGCAGGAGTCCGGGGAGAGGCTGGGGAACTGAGCCACAGAGAGGGTCCCCAGGGGTGGCCAAGAGGAAGAGGCCATGGCTGGGGGGCCCTGAGGGGTGAAGAATCTCGCTCTGCTGTCCCCGGTGGGCCAGCTGCTCCCCCCAACCACTCCCCGCCGGGCCCCCGGGGACCTCGCTCTAATAATGTATTTGATCGACTCGCCGGCCGCGTACAAGCGATTATTGTCTTGTCGGGAGTCAAACGTATCGATCCGGCGAGAAATATGAGCGGAGCAATGGGGCCCGCGTGTCAGTTACCAGCCCCGCTGGCCCTGGGGAGCCCCCTACGTCTCCTTTAATTACCGCTCAGCCCTGAGCCCATCCTGGCCTTCCCTGTGCCCCTCCCTCCCAGGCTCCCTGCACCTCCAGTGGCCCCCACTGCTCCCCAGCTCCCATGCCCTACCTGCCTTGCTCAGCATGGCCTGAGGCCTCTTCTCTGGCAATAAAGCCGCCATCTCCCCCTGCCTGGGCCTCCCTGTTCCCAGCTGCCAGTTCCTACCCACCAGTGTGCTCCAAACTCTGCCCCTCCATCTTCTTGGGAGTCCCATCCTCCTTCAAGATCCCCTCACCCAGGCCCAGGGACTCGGCTCTGGTCTGAGGCAGTAATAGCGGAAGCAGCTCGGGAGGCGAGAGGGGTGGGGTGATTTCATCCTTTGGAGAGTGTACATAAGGCCTCCGCTGGCTCCCGGAACCAGCCGCAGACCTGGCAGCACCGGAAGTGGGTGGTCCTTCCCTTGCTCACCTTAAGGGGCTGGCACGGGGTCATGTCCGAAAGCATGCTTCTGACCCGGGTGATACTGAATGTGTCCAGGGTGGAGCATAGGGATGGCTGGTGGGGTTTTGACCCCCTATAATGTCCTAGGACCCCAATTTCCAAGCCCCCCAAAACATAAATCCTAAATGAAAACAGCTTACGGGGCAAACGCAGCTTTAAGACAAGGCTCCAGTACCCCACTGCCACCAGTCTGTTGGGAAGACCCTTGAACAGAACCCTGCAGCTGGTGGCTGTGTGGCCTGCGGATCTCCTCTGTGAAATGGCCTTTACAACACGGGATGTTGTGGAGTGTAGATGCCTGGAAACTGTCCCCTCTGTGTGTGCATGTGAGAAGTGCGGGTCATTTCTGTCCAGCCCGCTGCCTGGGCGTGTCTGGGTGCTCAGGGCCCATGTGCGGCCAGGGCAGGTCACTAATGTAGTTCTGTGTTATGCTCTATGTGTGAGTGTGCGTACAAATGTCCAGGAAACGTGCCCGGGCACATATGTGTGGATGTGCCCTTGTCCCACGGGTCCACGTGGGGCGGCAGACGGGTATCTGTATGGGAGTGCCCGTCCTCATGAAGGAGAGTCGGTGTTGGGGCAAGCAGAGAGGTGTTCATGTGAGTCTGTGCGTGCACGCGTGTGTGTGTGTGAAGTGCTGCGGCCCATGTGTAGAAATACTTGAGTGTACGCGTGTGTCCGGTTGAGGCCAGGCGTCCGTGCGCGCGCGTGTGGTTTGGAGGCCCCCCAGCGTGGGGCCCGACGGCCAGGGTCAGGCAGGCGGCTGTTTGGAGGCGCCAGGCGGCCCCGCAGCCTCGGACCCCGGGCGAGAGGAGGAAGAGGGCAGCGGGCTCGGGCGCTCCTTTGTCTGAGCCGCTGTGCGCGGAGAGTCCTGCGCCTTTGTGTGACCCTCGCAGGTGTGCGCGCAGGGGCGGGGTGGGGGCGGGGACGAGGGGGTCGGAGAGGGGAGCGGAGGGAGGGGCTCCATCCTCCGCAGCCGGCCCCGCCCTCCGGCCCATTGGCTGGGCGCTGCCGCCCTCTGGTGGGCGCGGAGGGACGCGCTGGGCTGGGAGCGCCGCAGCACGAAGGGCTAGCCGGCAGCAGCCGGGGACCCGGGGCTCCCCTCCACCAGAGCCGGCTCGGGCTCCCGCATTTAATCCCTGACAGACTTCTTGCCACCCCAGGCCAAGGACCGCCCTCACTGCCACTGCCCACGGGCACTGCTTCTTCCCAGTGGTGGCCCCGGACACCTCACCTGCAGACAGGTGCGACCTCGGTCCTCCCCAACGCGCTGTGCTTTTTGGCTTCAACTCTTCCTTGGCAAAACCACCTCTCACCTCTCTGATCCTCAGTCTTTTCGTCTCTAAAATGGGGCAAATAACAGTGCCCACCTCTGGAGATGACACCTGTCAAGTGTGAGGTGCAGGGCTGGGCATTGGGAAAGCCCTCCCTCCAATAAGCTGTTAGCTCGTGTTTTATTGTTGTTATTGGTCTGGGCTCACCTTCTCTCCCAGACCCACATGCCCTGTTCCATATCCATTTGCCCCCATGAGAGTGGCTGAAGGGCAGGAGTAATGTTGCAGGCACCTCCTGGGGCGGAGGCCGTAGGAGTGAGATCTCCCAGCCTGCTTGTCCTCTGCCCCACTAACTCCCACCCTCCTAACATAGGCACATGATTTGGGATCCACCGGGTTGCTGGGGTGGGTCTGCAGGCCTCCTGGGTATTTTCCCTTCTGAAGGGGGCGGACTCGTGCTCGCTAGGGCAGCGCATATACTAAAATTGAAGGGGGCGGACCAGCCCTGTGGTTTCCTCCCTGGGTGACTTCCGGCAGGGAGGGCTCAGCCCCCAGAGAGGGCGGGGAGATGACACAGTTGTTCCCCCAGCCCTGGCGGGGCGGGCAGCATGGTTCACTCCAGCATGGGGGCTCCAGGTAAGGGGGCTGGTGCCTGCGCCACTGATCAGGAGGACAGGCTGCACATTTGGGTTTGTTCTGCTATGCCACCTCTGCTGGCCCTCGCTGCCCCTCCTCCTCAGCTGTCTTCATTGTCCCTCTACTCTGTACTCTAGCAACTCCCCTCTCCCATGCTGGGTCTCCCTGCCCCAGCTCCTCCTTGCCCTCCCCTTCCAAATCAGACACTGAAGCTTCCAGTGTCTTCTCCCCATCTCTGTTGTCTGGGGGAAGGAGGAATGGAGCCAGGTGTTGGTCGTGGGCCCTTATATGGGGAACCAGTGGGATGGGTGACATGGGTGATCCTTGGGTGGGAGCTGCAAAGGGGTTGAATACCAAGTTGCTGGACTTGGAGGGTGTCATTCCCCTTGTAAGTGTGTATGGATGTGTGTCTGCGTGTGTGGTAATTCTGAGTCCTCTGAGAGTGACTGCCGTGTGCTTGTGTCTGAGCGAGGGGAGGGGGCTGTTGTGTGTGGCATCCTGGGGGTAGTCTTGGCCCGGGGCTCTCAGCTCTCTTCCCCACTTCATTCGCCTTGGATGTCACCTCCTCAGGGCGGCCTTCCCTGACCTCCCCACCCAAACTGACACTGATCCTGTCACTCTCAGTCCTCTCACCCTGCTTTATCTTTTCTTCACGGCACTTATCACCGCTGGAAATTTCATTATGTGTTTGTTAGTGTGCTTATTAAATGCCTCCTCTGCCAGATGGCAGTTGACTGAGTAAGCATTGTGTGCCAGGCACTGGGCACTGTACGAGGTGATTTATAGTTGTTGGTATAACGTGTATATCTCTGCGTGGCAACAGGCATCTTTTGGCAGTGTGGACAGGAGCTGTAATGAGGCAATGTGTGTAATGTGCTTAGCGCGGTGCCTGGGACGTGCAAGCATTTGACCCTTCATGACGGTTTCACCTGTGGATGGATAGGCGTGACTTGGGCATGCGTCTGGGTTTGGCATATGCCAGCCTATGTGTGTCCATGTGTCCGGGCATCCTTGTGTCCTCCATCAATGCATTAATATATTCATTGAGCAGTTCTGTGCTGGGCGTTGGAAACATAACTGAAAAAGACAGCTTCAAGTCTGCCCTCCCAGAGCCCCTCGATCCATGGAGAAGACAGACCTGTGACCAACGACAGCACAGAGTGGTCAGGTTTGGGATGGGCAGAGGGGCTGGGGGAAATAAAGGAGGTTGTGGGAGCCCAGAAGACATGTGCGATTCAGTTGGTGGGGTGTCAGGGAGGGCCTCCTGGACGAGGGGTATCTGAGCTAGGATGTGAAGGGTGAGTGGGTGTGAGCAAGGCAGAGGAGGTGAGGAGGGGATTGGCATAGAAGGAAGACTATTTGTAGGATGGCATATGTGTATTTATTGAGGCAACCGTATGCGCAACTGTGTATGTGTGTGTTTGCCTGTGCAGCGTAGACACAGAGATCCAGGGTGTCTGCACATGCATGGTGTCTGCTCCACCACTGACTTGTCCCTGTCTGGGGTCAGATGGGGACCTCATAGGTACTGGGCAGTAGGTTAGACCTTTTACTTGGGATTTCTCATAGAACAGCCCTGTCTGGAGGACCTGCCTGGGTGTTCCCTGCCCGGACATGAATTAATAGTGTGGTCTTGAACAGATCACTTACCTAGGCTGGTCTTGGGCTCCACACCCGTGAACTGGGTTCAGGGGTCTGCCCTGGCCAGCTGCCAGGATGAGGTGACTCTGGGTGTGAGTGTTTGCACATCTGTGTGTGTATCTGTGCATGACTCTGGGTGTGGGAGTGTGTGCACATCTGTGTGTGTATCTGTGCATGACTCTGGGTGTGGGAGTGTGTGCACATCTGTATATCTGTGTGTGTCTGTGGCATGACTCTGGGTGTGAGCGTGTGTGCACATCTGTGTATCTGTGTGTGTCTGTGCATGACTCTGGGTGTGAGCATGTGTGCATGTCTGTATGTATGTGTGTGTGTATCTGTGCTTGACTCTGGGTGTGAGCGTGTGTGCACATCTATGTGTATCTGTGTGTGTCCGTGCATGACTCTGGGTGTGAACGTGTGTGCACATCTGGCTGTGTCCATCTTCCTGGCTGGGCATGATTTGGTGTGAGGATGTGTGTAAGTGCGTGTGTGTATACATGCATCTGGGTCTGTGAGTGGCTCTGGGAATGTCTGTATGCGTCTGTGTGTTATTGTGGCTGTGTATGTGTGCGCACATGTGTGTGTATCCAGCTGGCTGGCTGGCTGGCTGGCTGTGTGTCCTTCGGTGTGAGAGTGTAAGCACATATACACATGCCTGGGTGTGTGTTTTGCATATCTACCTGTGGCATCATGTCTGGGCATGTGTCCTTATCTGCAAACCTGTGTATATTCCTGTCTGGAATCTGGCACACCTGTTTGTTGTGTGTGTTGGCGGGGCCCCTGCCTGGCTGTGGTGGTGGTGTGGGTGCTCTTGCCTGTTGTCAGCACAGCTGTGGGGCCACCTCTCTTGTTGTGTCTGCTGCCCGTATCTCCATCCCTCCCTCCTGACAGCTCAGAAGTGTTCACTCCCTTGAGGCCACCCAGGGACAGCTGTGGGGCTGGGGAGGGGCTGTGAGGTGTTGCTCCTGGGGAGGCCAGGACTGGGCCAGCTGGGCCCTCAGAGGTTCCCGGCAGCACCAACCTGCCCACAGGGGCTCCTAGGCCACAGCCTTGATTGAGGTGGGTGTGGAGGCAGGGACCCAGGGGACAGGCCAAGCGGGGCTGGGAGGGGTGAGGGGCAGTCCTTGGGCCCTCTATATTTAGCTTCATTTTCAGTAAGTGCTAACGAGAAGCTGGCCTAAGTCTGCTAAAACTGGCTGGGGGAAATGCAGAGGAGAAGTGAAAGTCCGGGGAGGGTGGGGAGGGGAGGACGGAGGGGACCCAGAGTCCCAGAGTCCCAGACCGGGGGGCAGTCGGGCAAGCGAGTGTGAGCTTAGGGCCTGGGCAGCCTGGGTGGGTCTGTCTCGAGAATGGTGGGATTCAAGGGGCAGCACAGCTCCAAGGGGCCCAGTAGGGTTATGTATTGCTTTTCTCTGCCGGTTTCTCTAAAAAGTTACATGCTACCTGGGCTGGGCAGTGGGGCTGACCATGAATAACCAGCCAACTTTTCTGTGCAAATAAAACTTTGAGAGGGGCTTCTAAAGGTGCCAAGGGCCGGAGCACATTAGAGTCACCTGGAGGGTCTTTTAAAAATCTAGGTGCCCAGATCGCAGCCTGTGCCATTGAAATCAAGAGTGTCTGGGGTGGGAACAGGCATCAGTGTTTCTGTAGAGTCAAGAGGTGGGTGTTGGGCATCCCTGCCTGGGCCGAGGCTGAGGCAGAGCCTTTGGATGGACCCTCTAAGTCCACGGCTGCCAGTGCCCTGGAGTTCCTGTCAAGGCATCATTTGGCTTTAGGTCCAGGATGAAAATGGAGCCCTCTATTTGTCCTTGGCGGGAATGATTTGACCCTTGTCTCAGGTTGAGCTCCGATAGGGGAGGAGGAAGGAGGGAGAGACCTGGGCCAAGGGTAGCACTTGGCTATTCACTGGCCCAGCCAAGCGCTGGGTGGGAAGAGCACAGGCTTGTGTGAGTGGTTGGGAGAATGGGCAGAATAAGGGTAACTGGATGGTGGAAATTTCCCCTTAAACTGCTTCTGCCTCTCCAGCCGCTATCCCTGCAGAGGAAACTTACGTTAAAGGTTTAAGTTGGGTTTGCTTGGGGACAGGGGCTGAGGGTTGAGGTGCTGGGTGACAACAGAGATAGGGGTTTGTTTTGGGTAGGACTGAACCCTGGTCAGTCGGGGGGATTCTCTCATGCATTCATTCATTCCAAAGACATCGTCTGAGGCCTGTGCAGCAATGACTCTAGCGTGGGCCCTCATGGAGGGGGTGGGGATGGGGTCACATCACGGTGGATGGAGGGTGGTGCAGGGGTGGCAGAGCCCAGACAAGAGAGTCACTGACTGCCCAGGGAGTCAGGGAGGACTTCACAGAGGAGGTGACATATGAGCTGGGCCTTAGAGAGGAGCAGGAGTTTGCCAGTGGAGAAGGAAAGGGTCACCCCGGGTAGGAGAAGAACAGAGGCAGAGGTCTGGGGGAGGGAGGGGTCACTGTTGTCCACTGACCCTCACGTCCTCTGCTGGGCACTGTCAGGGCCCCCCCGATCACACCCGCCCTTGAGGAGTTCTCAGTCTGATAGCAGAGACATGCTGGGGCCCAGCTGGCTACTGTCAGCCCCTAGGACAGTGCTGGAGGAGGTGCTGGGACAGGGGGAGCTGGGGAGAGACCTCTGACTGGAGCTGGGGCGTCAGGGTGGTGGCTTCATAGCAGACAGAGCCTGTGCCGGGTCTTGAGTAATGAGTAGGCGGTCGCCAGGTGGGCAGGTGGGCAGGTGGGGAGCAGCGTTCCAGGCAGAGGGACCAGCCCACACCAAGGCCCCAGGAAACGTGTGTTAAATGGCAGGGAGGCAGCAGGATGGGGGCAGGAACTAGTGAGAGAGAGAGAGAGTTTCAGGGAGGGACGTCCAGCGGACAGTTATGGGTGGGTGACGCTGGGGACCCAGCGATGAGTCAGACCAGACCCGTCCCCCTGGTCTGGTGGGGAAGGAAACTGGACACAGACGGCCACGGCCCTGGGGGCTCAGGCTGGAACCGCGGGTGGGGGTTGGGGGGCGGGAGCCGTGGGAGGCTGTATTTGCCTGCTAGGGCTGCCATCACAAAGTACCGCAAACCGTGTGGCCGAAACAACAGAACTTTGTTTTCTCGTAGTTCTGGAGGCTAAAAGTCAGAGGCCAGGGTGTCAGCAGGGGTGGTTTCTTCAGAGGCCTCTCTCCTTGGCTTGTAGATGGCTGTCTTCTCCTGTGTCCGCACAGGCCTTCCCTCTGTTCCTGTCTGTGTCCTAATTCCCAGTTCTCATAAGGACGACAGTCAGATTGGCTTAGGGCCCACCCTAAAGACCTCATTTCACCTTAATTACCCCTCCGAAGACCCTCTCTCCAAATGGTCATATTCCGAGGTACCAGGGCTTAGGACTTCATACAAATTTGGGGGGCACACAACTCAGCCCATAGCAGAGGCCGTGGGTGAGTGTGGAGTTTCTGGGGTGGAGGTGAGGGCAGGAGAGGCGTTCGCCAGCTCAGCGGGGAGTCAGAGCCTGCAAGGCCTGGACTCCCTGTCAAGCAGAACCCCCGAGACGAGGGAGATGCGCGACAAGACAGGGTTGAAGGGCAGGGTGGGTGAATGGCAAGAGCGGAGAAGCAGAGCGTGACGGGCCACAGCCAGAAGGCCAGGCCCAGGAGCCGAGAAAGGGTGTAGAGCCAGGGAGAGTTGGGTGTAGGAAGGATTGACCTGGGGCAGTGTGGAGCCTGGCCAGAGGGAGGGTCCGGGGAGGAGGCTGGAGTTTTAGGGATGCTAGGAGGGGTGAGATTTAGGGCTGGGATGGGTTAGTGGTTGCCTGGAGTAGGGATAAAGTCTGGGTAAGTTAGAGCTGGGATCAGGCAGGATTTCTGCCTTTGCTGTCCCAGAGTCAGGAGAGGCCTTGTCCTGGGCTCCCTTTCTGTCTTCCTGACTCTCATGATCATTAGCCATTCAGTGTCCCATCCCCAGTGCGCGGAAACAGGACCTGAGCTCCAGTAGTGTCCTGGGCACCTGCTCCCCAGCCCCTTGCTCCCCAGCAGCCTGTACTTTAATAAGATTATGTGCTGGCTTTTTTTTTAGCTTTAAATATTTTTGTTTTTGGTTAAAACATAATGTATCTACAGTAAAGTGCTCAAATTTTAAGTGTAGATCTTCAGTGAATTTTTTTTTTGTATAAATGGCTACGTTGTCCAGGCTGGTCTCGATCTGGCATCCTCCCGGCTCTGCCTCCCAAGGTGCTGGGATTACAGGCTTGAGCACCCAGCCCTCACTTTTTGCATACGTACAGACTCCTAGAACTACCAAACAGATCCTTTCTAGCCGGAGCTCCTCATACCCTTCTACCCTTCCCAGTCAGCACTCCCCAGAGGTACTCACTAATCTGACCTTGATCATCTGATACCAGCCTGCCTGTTTTTGAACTTCACATAATTGGAAGCCACATTGGAGTCATAACTGTATGTCTGCCTTGGCGTTTGGCTTCTTTCACTCAGGCTCACGCCTGTGAGATTCAGCGATGCGTGCAAAGCAGGAGTATGTTCTTTTTCATTGTATGGACGTACCACATTTTGTTAATCCATTCGCCTGTTGATGGGCCCTTGGGTTGTTTCCACTTTGGGGCCATTGTGAAAAGTTGAGCTAACGTTCGTGCCCATGACCTTCAGTGGGCAGCACGTGTGTCTCTTGGGTGGATGCCCAGGGGTGGACATGCTGTGTCGTAACTGAATAGTGGGGTTCACTATTCAGTTTTCTCAGTACTGCTTGTATCAATTTACGCTCCCACCTGCAACACGTGACCTGACTTTTAAATTTTTTTAATTTATTCTTTATTTTTTGAGACAGAGTCTCACTTTGTTGCCTGGGCTAGAGTGCCATGGTGTCAGCCTAGCTCACAGCAACCTTCAACTCCTGGGTTCAAGCGATCCTCCTGCCTCAGCCTCCCGAGTAGCTGGGACTACAGGCACCCGCCACCATGCCGGGCTATTTTTTTTCTATTTTTAATAGAGAGGGGGTCTCACTCTTGCTCAGGCTGGTCTCAAATTCCTGAGCTTAATCGATCCTCCCGCCTTGGCCTCCCAGAGGGCTGGGATTACAGGGGTGAGCCACTGCAACAGCGACCTGACTTTTTAATTAGGAATTTAAAACACAAGCAGTGATTCATGTCAAGTAATCCTCAATTGCAAAATTCCTAGCCTTTTTTTTTCAGTTGCAGAGCTCTTCCCATCCCTCACTTTACTTGGCCTTCTTTAAGTATCTTGGTGCAGAGCACGCCAGAGTTGGACAGCTCCCTTTGGTAGGGCTGGAGTCACGGTATAGATGGGGATTTTGGAGTGAGTTGTGGAGGAGGGTTTAGGGTCAGAGGCAGGGTCATGAATAAGGTCTCAGGACAGTTAGGAGTCAAGGTCAGATGAAGGACTTGGACCATCTGGGCACAAGCTGGGATTCAGGGTGAGTAAGGGGACTAAGAATGGGTCGGGTGAAGCCTACATTTGTGCTGGGGTCTTAGACCAGGAAGGGCTGGAGTTGGCATCAGGATGAGCTTGTGCTGGGGGTACTTTTTGATATGAAATGGGTAGAAGCCAGGACTGGGCCATTAGACTGGAGTGGAGACCTGGGGTCTAGTCAGGGCACCTCTGCTGTCCCATTGTGCTCTTGGGGAGGTGACTTCCCCTCTCGGAGCCTCAGTTTCCTCCTCTGTAAAACGGGGTGATATTAGCACCAACCACTAATGTGAGCTTTGGGTCACATCTGGCTGAGTGCTTGGTGTTGGTGAGCACTTACCTTTCTGTGATCAGTATTGGAGTGCTTTGAGGACAGGCGTTTGTCCACTGGTTTGTGTCCTCTGGCGCCCAGCTTGCTGCTTGCTGCCTTCCCTGGGCTACCTCCTTTCATTTCCTGGGTCTAGGGAACTATGGAACAGGGCTGTATTGCAGGGGCAGACGTGAGGTGTGGCTGGGGCCCAAGGCTGAAGTCCCGGGTGAGGTCTAGGGTTAGATAGGAAGACAAGATCAGAAGTAGGGCCGGCTGGGGTTGGGGTCAGAGAGGATCAGGGTGGGGCTGCTGAGCCGTGCACTGAACAAGCAGGAAGGCCAGGTGGGAGTGAGGTGTGGACGGGGAAAGTGGTGGGCCGGGGAGGGGGCCAGAGGGCAGCTGAATCACACTCAGAGATCTGACAGCTCCCTCCTCTGAGGATGCTGCAGCCCCATCACATCCCCCAGGCCCCACTCAGAGTGGAAAACATGTCTCACCCGAAACCTGGTAGGGCAGGACGGGGAGCTTCGGCGGCCGCCATCGCCAGCACCTCCTGGGCAGCTGACACCCTCTCACGACCACCTTCTACCTCCTGCCCTGCCCCAGGGCCTCCTGGTGGGTGACACCCACTGTGCCACTTTCTGGAGGGGAGAAAGGATAAGACAAGATCCCTCGGGCCCAAGGGCCCCTCTCGTCCTGCTGGAGAAGGGCAGAGGCCCAGAACAGAGGGCACGTCTCTAGAAAAGAGACACTTCCAAGGTGGCAGGGGATGGGGGCCGGAGGGAATTTGGGGAAAGGCAAGGGTGTGGCGAAGGGGGGCCTAAGAGCCCTTCTGGTTTCCCCTCCCTCACCCCACTTCCATCCCTCCTCTGTCCGCAGAAATAAGAATGTCTAAGCCCCTGGAGGCCGAGAAGCAAGGTCTGGACTCCCCGTCAGAGCACACAGGTGGGTGGGAGTAGAGTGGGGGCAGGGGTAACCGTGGGCAGGGGAAGAGGGGCAGGCGGGAAGACAGCAGGGAGGGGACAGGTGTGGTGGGGGTGGCTGATGACAACACATCCTTTCCCTCTCTTTGCAGACACTGAAAGAAATGGACCAGACACTAACCATCAGGTCAGGAGGGAGTGGATACGCAGGAGGGGGCGGGAGGGGAGAAGGGAGTGGAGGGGTCTGTTCCAGGAGGGCCAGGGGGTCAGAAGCTGCTTCACTGCACTATTCCCATCGCCCTGCATCTACTTCCTCTTTGCAGAACCCTCAGAATAAGACCTCCCCGTTCTCCGTGTCCCCAACTGGCCCCAGCACCAAGGTAAGCACCTGTCAAAACAGCCAGAGAAGAGGGTGGTGCTTGGGAGAGGGTCCTGGGCAGGCCTGCCACAGGCCCAGGGCCTGAGGGAGCATCAAGCCCTGGTACCTTGGTGACTAGGTTCCTCCCGCCCCTTCTCACCCTCAGGCTCCCGCCCCAAGCCTGTGACTCACCCAGGCTCCTTCCCCTTCCCTAGGGGGTGGGGGTGGCCAGGGAAATCCCCCCCACAGCCCCAGGGTGATGAACAACAGGAAGCCAAGGGCCCCGCCCCCATCCCGGCTTCCCTGGCCCAACAGGGGCCTGCACCACTCCCTGCCCCCCAACACACACATTTAGGGGCCAGCCTAGGGCAGGGGGATTGGCAGACCCAGTGGGAATGGCCAGGAGGAGGGGATGATGGGGAAGGCGGAAGCAGCCAAAGGGTGCAAATTCCAGATCCAGGTGGGGCCCCTGCTAAGCACTGCTGGCTTCCTGGGGTTTCTTGGGCCCAGGTCTCCACCCTCCAGCCTGGTCAGGGCAGCAGGCAGGCCCAGAGCACCGTTGATGGGGGCAGAGGGGGAAGGAGCCAGACCCTGACCTTGACCAGTGGTGGCCGAGGGGTGGGGTGGGAGGCTAGGAACTGCTCCCCACCCTGCTGAAGCCTTGCTCTGTGACCATGGGAAAGTCACTTCCCCTCTCTGGGCTTCTCAGTTTCCTCTTCTCTAACATCGGTTGGGGGGAGGGGGCAGTCAGATTGGATAGCCTTGGAGGTCACGAAGTCTGGTGTGCCTTGATGCCGCAGTGGGAGGACACAGTGCTTTGTGAGCAGGTGTCTTCCCTTCTGTACTGAGTGCTTTGCACAGGGCCCGAGGTAGAAGGGCTCTGGGTCTCGACCCCCTCGACCCTTGGAGTGGAGCATGTGTCCACTGCCCTCACTCTGTCCCTCCTCAGCTGAATCGGATCTCGCCCTGCCATAGCCTTCCTTCTCCTGGGGAAGCCCATGGGGCTGAGGGAATGAAGGGGTCTTTCTCCCCTTCCCGGACCTGGGCTCCATCCACACCGTGCCTGTTTCTCTGGCCTTTTCCTCTCAGCCTCCCTCCACCTCGTCTGTGTCAGTCTTTCCCTAACTGTGGTGATTCATGGGCTCCCGACGCGGTCTCAGATGTATCCAGGCACCACTGTGGATGATTATTTACATAATAATTTTGCTAATTGGCTCAATTTCTAAAAACACTTTATTATGGAAAATGTGAAGCAGATATAAAAATAGAGAGAAGGGTATAATGAAAATAAACCCCCAGGTACCCATCAATCAGCTTCACCAATTACCCACTCATGAACCGGCTCGCTTTTTCAACGGCTTAAATAAATGTTTTTTAAATGGAAATTTCATGAATGGAAAACCAGAATCACTTGCCATGGAAATAAATGCAATGATTATTAAAATTTACCCAGAGTCTCTTATGTGCCGAAGGGTCTAGACCTGAGGCCTGTTCTCCGTTTATTAAAAGAAGCGATTAGCCAGTATTGGAGAGGTGTTAAAGACATCCTAGCGCCAAACCAAGGCTTTCTTAAGATAACTAGAAAGAATGAAAAGGCACCAAAAATGGAAAAGTGTTCTTACCATGGCATTCAATGTTATATTTTAAAAAGCTTTATATTCAAATATGACACACATCAAAACACACACAGATGCTCAGTGTGTGACACCGTGCATGTTCACAAACCGAGCACACCTGTGTCACCAGCACCACATCAAGAAGCAGAGCAGGACCGGCCTTCCAGAGGCCCTTACTGCCCCTACCGGGGGTAGCCTTTGCCCTGACTTGTGAGACCCAGTGTCATTTCACGCTGCATCTCTGTAGCCCTTAAACCTTCTGACACTTGTGTCCCATAATTTGATACATGCCACTCACTGTCTGTTATCTGGCTTTTCCCTGGCCTCTGTTCTTCTCCGTCTGCATTCCAAATGCCACTCCCTGCCACCCTGCTGTGTCACCTCCCACAAGTTGCTTTCCTTCTCTGGACCTCCTTTTCTAAAATGATGTTGGGGTATCAGGCCAAAGGATGATCCCAATGTCTGCGCTGGGGCAGAGAGTACGTGATCCATCAAGCCACGCCTCCTCCCACCCCACGTGTGCTTTAGCCAGCAGGACTTTCAGCCAACAGCTGCGTCCTGGCTTTTTTTTTTTTTTTTTTTTTGAGATAGGGTCTGACTCTTGCCCGTGCTAGGATGCAGTGGTGTCATCATAGCTCACTGCAACTCCTGGGCTCAAATGATCCTTCTGCCTCAGCCTCACCAGTAGCTGGGGCTGTTAGGCGTGCCAATGTGGCCGGCTTGCTGACTGGCCTTTCATCTAGGAGAGGAAGAAGGCCAGTATGGCGCTGTGCTGGTCTGTTCTATGTGCATGATGCACTACGAGTCCACACCACACTCAGATGCAGAGGGGCTCGGCAGACCCTGGGGGCAGAGGCTGAAGCCTGGCAGCACCTGGGCCACATCTGGCCTGTCCACAGCACAGGACATACGCTGTGCTCTGCTTGTCCTGCCAGCGTTTTGTTTTAGACTTTGAAATGAGTGACTAGTAGTACAGCTCACCCCCATTTACCCTGTCCCTGTCAGCCTTTTGTCCAGTCTTCCTGTCTCCGTAAGCATCTGAGTTAGTGACCTGGGTTCCAAGGCAGTGGTGTTAATACCCTAAGACCTTTTCTTCCAACCACAGCCTGCCAGCCAGCTCCCCGGCACCCCACAGCTCACCTTGTCCCAACCCATCCGGCTCATTGGACAAGTGGAGTAAGACTCCCTCTGGCTGACACAGATGAGGGGTATAGGACCCGGGACCCCCTTGTTTGACCTCCCAGGTGCCCAGCAGCACTCTTTTCCATTTTGCAGATGGGGAAACTGACTCCCAGAAGGGGAAAAGTACCCTCCAAAGGTGACTTCTCCAGTAGGGAGTTTGGGTGCAGGTAGTGTGTTAGCCCTATGTGATTGATGAGGAAACTGAGGCCAGAGGAGTGGTCTGAGGGCCCAGCCGGTCAGTGCGGGGCCACGAGCCACAGCCTCACCTCTGTACCCCAGTCTGCTCCTCCTGGGCCAGCCTGAGGCTGCCATCGCCACACACGTGCCCTCTCTTTGGTTTGCAGGTGGGCATTCTCTCTGGCCTCCACTTAACATTCTGGGGTCCCGGACCCTGCCTCTCTCCCCCCCAGATCAAGGCTGAAGACCCCAGTGGTGACTCAGCCCCTGCAGCACCCCCGCCCCCCCAGCCGGCCCAGCCTCATCTGCCCCAGGCCCAACTCATGTTGACAGGCAGCCAGCTAGCCGGGGTAAGTAGCCGGGGAAGGGCAGGGATGGGGGCACAAACCAGCCACCTCCCGTCGGTTGCAGGGCTAGTGGATGAGGTGTCCCACCGAGGCCATGGCCACTCTCTCACGCCTGCCTCTTGCCCTCCTGTCCTCCAGGAAGACTTGTCCCCTCACCTGCTTGGCTCAGGCACTAACCCCTCTCTGCCTTCTCTGCTCCTCCCCGACCCCTGCTCTGGCCCCTGCTGTCCCCTCCAACCCCCCACAGCTCACGGCGCTGATGCCGGCTCAGCAGCAGCTCCTCCTGCAGCAAGCGCAGGCCCAGCTCCTGGCGGCCGCCGTGCAGCAGTCCAGTGCCGCTGCTGCCGCTAACGCCGCTGCCGCTGCCGCCGCCTCCTCCTCCTCCTCCTCTTCCTCCTCCTCCTCTGCCTCCTCCTCGACCTCGCAGCCCCCAGCCTCCTCTGGGGGAGGTGACCTGCCACCACCACAGCCTGCCAGCCAGCCCCCTGGGACCCCACAGCTCACCTTGTCCCAACCCATCCAGCTCACAGCACAGGTAAGGGCAGCCGCTGGGACCACACTCCCTCCAGCAAAGGACGTGCAAAAGCAGTGGGTGTGTGGGAGGGGCTGCTGGTCCATGTGGACGTGCCAGGCTGTTCCTGGCAACCCTAGGAAGCCTTAGGAGATATTGCCATCCCATCTTGCAGAGGGGTAAAGTGAGGCTCCTAGGGAGGAATATCCCACATGCTAACCCTCCACCTGATGGAGCGCCAGGCTAAGCACTTTCTGTGTGTCTCACTGAGGGTTCACAGCCTCCTAGGAGGTTCACATCATTATCCTAACTTACAGGTGAGCAAACCACAAGTCACCCCCATGAACATTACCTGTGTGGGTACAAACAAAAGTCTGGGAATCAGAATTCGTGCCCACATTGTGTCCCCCGGCTCATCCAACAAGATGCTCCTTTCAGAAAAGGGGTCCATTTGGGTTACGAGTGTATTCAAGTAAAAAAAAAATAGAAAGAGCTTCCATGGTATATACTTAGGAAGTGCTGCATCCTCTCTCCCCATGCTGGAGTTGGCTCGTGTACAGTTAACCATGAATTCATGGCTGTCTCAGTTTCCTAGGGCTGCCATAACAAAGTACCACAAACTGAGTGGCTTAGAACGTCAGAAATGTGTTGTCTCAGACCACGAGTCCAGGGGTCGGCAGGGCTGTGCTCTCCCTGGAGGCTCCAGGGTCAAGTCCGTCGTGCTGCTTCTGGCTTCTGGTGGTGCCGGCAATCCTTGGTGTCCCATGGCTTGTCGATGAGTCACTGCGATCTCTGCCTCCATCGTCACGTGGCCGTCTCCTCTGTATGTGTGTCTCTCTGTGTTCAAACTTTCCTTTCTTGTAGGGATACCAGTCACTGAATTAGGGCCCATCTTAATGACCTCATTTTCACTTGATTACATCTACAAAGACCCTATTTCCAAATAAGTTCATGTTTGCAGGTACCAGGGGTTAGGGCCTCCACATGTCATTTTGGGGGACACAACCCAACCCGTACCAGTGGCCAGGAGGTTTCCCATGAGGATAGACTCACGGGAGGGGGAGCAGAGCAGGAGCTGAGCAGCTTCCCCTTCAGACAGGCCGCTCCCTCCAGCCCACCCCCGTCCGCACCTGCTCGCGTCGCCCATTTCTGCTGCGTGTCTGGTTTCAGTAAGCATCTGAGACTGTGGTGTGTGCTGTCCTGAGGTGGGGAAGGTCCTGAGAAGTCCTACAGCAAGGAAACCTGTTTGACTTCCCTTAGCCTAGAGTTTCCCGCAATGACGACGCCACAGATGGCTTTTCTCTGCCCCCAGCCACCCTCCTGCTCAGGACACCTGAGGGCAGATGCTGTCTGCCTAAGGGAGTTGTCCAGCCTCCGAGAGGCTGTTCCCTTGACAGAGTCACCCCTCCAGACGGGCCCATTTCGTTATTGACCGATGCTCCCATTTAGGACTTTCCTTAATGCTGAGCTGACACCTGCCGCCTTAGAACTTCCTGCCACTGGGCCCGGCACTGTGGAGACAGAGCAATCTGTGCCCACTGCTCCACCATGGCCCTTCCAGATGCAGCCTCCCAATACCTGGCTCTCCACAGTAACAGTAACTATAGTCTGTACCGGGCACTGTGCCAGTGATGACCTCTTTGAACCCACAGATCTTCCCTGCGGAGGCTCTGAGTGGCAGACTGACCTGCTCCAGGTCATGCCGTGAGCAGGAGTGGCAGAGCCAGCCTGCGAGCCCAGGGCTCTAACCACGTGATCTGTGGTTGCCGCCTTTAGCCATCCTTCACGGGGACGTGGTTTCCAGCCCCTCCCACCCCGGCCACCAGAGACTCCCGCAGCACATGTAGCACGCAGACCCTTCAGTGAGCAAGGCCAAGGGCTCGGGCTCCTCATGGGGGCTGGGTTCGTTCACATCTTGGCACCCCTGCTCTCGTTCTCCTTTTTGCTTGGAGGCCTGTTCCCTTCCTTTACCTGGACAGCTCCTCTTCATGTGTTAAGCCCAACTCGGGGAGTGCACACCTCCAGGAAGTTGTGATGACTTCCCTCGCTCCAGCTATGCCTGAATATGCCTGAGGAAATACCAGTTAAGGAACAGAGGCTAGAGGGAGGGAGGAGGGACAGGGCAGCCTAGTGCAGACCCAGCCAGGGTCTGCTCACCCCTGTGGGCAGCAGACATTCCTGTTAATGCACCCCCAGAACCACCTCCCCCAGCTCCCCGGGGACCCTAGCAGCAGCAGGCTGACCCTCTGCCACCTGCTGTCCAGCCCAGGCCCTGATTGTCAAGGTCTCCTTAAGCCCCTCCCTTCCAAGTCCTTTCCTCTGGCTCCTCCCTCCCCAGCTTCCCTCAGCTCTGATCTTTCCCTGTCTGTCCTCAGCAAGTGGAAGCCCAGCCACACTTGTTTTCTGGGAATTCTTTCTCACGGGCTGAGTTGCCTGTGACATCATTTCCCCAACAACACCTCCTATGTGCCAGGGCCCACGCTGGGCCCAGGCTGCAGTGGGGACCAGCTCCTCCTGCCCTAGCTGCCACTGCTGCAGCCCTCCCCGGCCCCCCAAGCTTGAACAGCTCCCCTACAGCCTGCGTTCTACTTCTTGCGCCTGCTCAGTGCTGCTGCTGCAGTCATTTCGCAGACATTTCCCGGCCTCCTGCATGTCAGGCCCTGGCAAGAAAGCTGAAGACTCAAAGTGAATCACAGCCATCCCTGCCCCCTGAGGGGCTCTCCGTCTCGTCGTGAGACAGGCACATCTCCAAACCACTAAGAAATGTTTCACTGGAAAAATGCTAAGAAGCCCAGGAAAGAGAGTCAAAAGCCCTCTAACCTATCACTTTAAACTTATCTAAAGTACCAAGGAAAAGTTCCCTTCCATCCCTCTGATGTCAGCTTCTGAAGTCAGGCCAGTTAAACAGTTTGGCAGGATCCTTCCCTGCAATTTCCTGGCTTGTACAGATGAGGAGTGATTACAATACAGTTTCATAATTTGTCTGTCCATTGCCTGGTGCGATGCCTTCCACCGAGGGGGCCATCTGGATGTTTACTGAATCAATGAGGGATGTTTTGCTGCAGTTTTTCAATCAAGGGAAGGGAAGACATCTCTCCAGGGGAGTATTTCAGAATGTCTGGGGTAGGCATAGGCATTGATTGAAAACTTACGTTAATGATTAAAACATCATTTTATATTAGAGCATAGGAAAAAAAAAATCCCTATTTTCGTATTAGGACCATGGAAAATAAAGCTTGACAAAAATCTCTTAGGCTAGTAGGACCTAGTGAATAACGATTTCAGGGAGAAACCTACCGGATGTGATGCGAATGTGGGAAAAGAAGTGTGACCATGTGTCTAGGGAATCAGGAAGGCTTTGGGGAGGAGGCAGGATCTGCACTGAGGGGAGACGAGTAGGAGTTTTCCCGGAAAGGGCTTCCAGGCAGTGGGAATGGCAAGTGCAAAGTGAGAAAGCAGAGGTGGGAGTTGGGGGTGGGGGAGCCCGTGGTGGAAGAGGAGAGGGTGCGCTGGGAGGGCGTATGGGTCTGGCAAAGCCCAGCTCCAGGTGGCTGGAGAGGACAGGGAATATTCAGCTCAGACCACTGAAAAGGCCTGGCCTGGAGTATCAGGCCCATCTCCAGGGGTCTGTCTCCCTGTTTCATTTTGGGACAGGCAACATGGGTGCCAGCATTGTCAGACTTGCGGCTGTCCTGCCCAAGGAGATAAAACACACCCGCTGGCCAGCTTTGAGCCAATGCCCCCCACCCCTGAGAAGGCAGGGTCAGCCCCACCTAGACCTCGTGACCTGAGAGTGGGGGCGGGTAATCCTCTCAAATTGCTTGAAGGAGGGGCAGTGGGTACCAAGCCAGCCAAAACCGCCCACCTGGATCTGCTGCTGCGTGTCTGTCCTGGAATTTTAGCATAAGGTAGCATGTGACATAACACAATCCATATGTATGTGTTTTTTCTCCTTGTTGAATGGGTCTCTGTTTTGTGGTGGTCTGCCCTACTGCCAGGACTTCCTGGGCTCCATTTGTCAGGGCCAACCTCTGGGGGACAGGGGACAGAGAAGAGCCCACACTTGAGAATGGCCACCTCCCCCACCCCATCTTTCAAACTTTGCCTAGTGGAGTGACTGGAATAATCACAGTCGTTTATTCATTCAACTTTTTATGCCAAGTGCCCGTTCATGGCCTGAGGGGTAGCTGTGTACCAGGCAGAGTTGATGGCCCTTGAGGACCATATGCTCTGGTAGGGAGACAGAGAGTAAGCAAACCAGCAAAACAAGGCAGTTTCAGAGTGAGTGTAATGAAGAAAATGAAGCAGGGCAGTGTCAGAAAGGGAGGAGGCCACTCTTAGTGGCATGGTTAGGAAAGGTTCACTGAGAAGGTGGCCTCTGGGAGCCAAGGCCTGACAGAGTCAGGGAAAAGCATTTCAGGAAGAGGGGACAGCAGGTGCAAAGGTCCTGAGGTGGAAACCAGCCTGACTTGTTCAGGACACAGAGGAAGGT